TTTGATGCGGTGCAGTTGTCCTGTCCCCTTAGCAGAAAAAACACCCCCAAAGCATAATATTTCCACCTCCATGTTTGACAGTGGGGATGGTGTTCTTGCGGCCATAGGCAGCATTCGATTTTGGTCTCATCTGACCCCAACACTTTTACCCAGTTCTCCTCTGAATCATTCAGATGTTCATTGGTAAACTTCATACGGGCCTGTATATGTGCTTTCTTTAGCAGGGGGCGCTGCAGAATTTCAGTCCTTCACGGCGCAGTGTGTTACTAAGTGTTTTCTTGGGGTCTATGGTCCCAGCTGCCTTGAGATCATTAACAAGATCCCCCCCCCCATGTAGTTCTGAGGTGAGATCTTGCATGGAGCACCAGACCAAGGGAGACTGACCGTTATTTTGTGTTTCTTCCATAAGCAAATAATCGCACCAACTGTTGTCACCTTCTCTCCAAGATGCTTGGCGATGGTCTTGTGGCCCGTTCCAGCCTTGTGTAGGTCTACAATCTTGTCCCTGACATCCTTGGACAGCTCTTTGGTCTTGGCCATGGTGGAGAGTTTGGAATCTGATTGTTTGCTTCTGTGGACAGGTGTCTTTTATACAGGTAAAGAGCTGAGATTAGGAGCACTCCCTTTAAGAGCGTGCTCCTAATCTCAGCTCAATACCTGTATAAAAGACACCTGGGAAGCTAGAAATCTTGCTGTCACATCATGCCATGTTCTGCGGAGATGTCTGGCAATGGCTTCTGGTATCCAGTACTCTTTTTACAATTCTTGTTTAGTTTTTCTTGGTTTTTCTGGTTTTCTGGTCTATGTCTGGTTTTCTTTATTGCTGGGATTTCTGGGTTCATTCCTGTAATCCATCCCTGGGATTCCCAGTCTCCAGGTTTCCTTTAAATGTTTGTTTTATGTTGCCACACCTGTTTGTTTTCCACTTTCCTTTTGTTTCAGCTTGGACCTGCAGCAGTGGTTCAAGTCTCTGCCCTTTCTTGCAGGTAAGTGCTGTATTGTGGTTTAGTATGGTTCTTTTAGAGAACATTAGGCAGTGTAGGACCTGCCAGATATGGGGTACATTGGCGTTGTTGGCAGGCTTATGCAATGTATGATCATATAATGTGACTAAATATAGTGCTTAGTTATGTCTCCTCTTGTTTTACCTTGTATCTCTTGTCTTGGTTTTTCTTTGTCTTGTAATCCCAGTCCATGTACAGTCCTGTCCAGCCATGCCCATGTTACGTTCTTGTTTTCCTCATGTCTTGTGTACATGTTCTGGGTTCTGCTTTCTGTCCTGCTCTGGTTCTGGGTTCTCCTAGTTTTGTCTTGTTTTCATGGATGGTGCCTATCTCTAGTCTTGCCCTGTTCTCCTGGTTTTGTCTTGTTTTCGTGTATGGTGCCTATCCCTAATCTTGCCTTGCTTCAGTACTGGATACATCCCTGCTGCAGAGCCTCCCTATTCAGCTCCTGGGAGGTCTGCTTAATTTCCTGCTCCTAGTTTCTGGGATCCGCATAAGCTTAATCAGGGTTCTGGTATGTGGCTTCACAAACGCTGGTGCTCAACACCAGGGAGCATGTGGTTACCCTGCACCAGACCCTGCTAATCCACCTCCACACTGTGACTCCTACTCTGAACATCAGGCATACATGGGTCCAGGTCCACGCACCGCCGCCCGGACAGTGTCTGGGTCCCGGGCACCGGACCGCCACCCTGACACTTGTTGATTGATAGGGGATCAAATACTTATTTCACTCATTAACGTACAAATCAATGTAAAACGTTTTTGACATTTTTCAGGATTTTTTTTGTTGTTGTTGTTATTCTGTCTCTCACTGTTAAAATACACCTACCATTACAATTATAGATTGATCATTTCTTTGTCAGTGGGCAAATGTTTAAAATCTGCAGGGAATCAAATCATTTGTTCCCCTCATTGTATATATTATATTGTTGCTACCCCACGGTTTAATCATTTTGGAAAGAAAAATAAATATATCTAATAAACATTAAGTTCTCCTAGAAAATAGGGACAGAGGGATTTGGGCAGAAAATAGAATACAAACTGTGCATTCATTTTTTTTCTTTATTATATAATAGAAATGTTATGTGTTATTTTGCGATAGTAAAATTATCAGGAATAAAAACTGATTAATTTGGCAGGCAATAGCTCAGGCAGAAATAAGGCACCAATATATAAAGTGTGACATTGACCATTGTGACGAAATCCACTTTGCCACTGGTTTTTGGAGGGGCCTGTTTGCCAGCCTCCTACCCTGGGACTATGGGCCCTGTGATAACCCATGTTCAAAAGCACTGTTTCTGCCCCTTGGACTTTTAACTGGAACAGATTCAAACATGGGGCGGCGGCCATCTTAAATTGTCCAGCAGTGTTTTGTCGTCGGGTGTATGGAACTGTTTTGGGCATGGGACCATGTGCACGGTGGGGCAAAAATAAAACTTCCAGGAAATTCCTGAACCCCTGAACCGATCTGGGTGATTTTTGGATATGTTGTTCACCCATATCGGGGCTATCGGGGATGTGAGTGGGGATATGTTTTATTTTGGGGTACTTTTGGGGTTTGTAAAAATGTGTTTTGTTTTTTTTCTGTTTGGAGTTAATTGAGTTAGCCCATTGTCTTTGTTAATTGTATCACAGGCGTAGGGGAGGGATTGTGTGCTGTAAGTGGGAGTGTCGGACATTGTTGTATTCTGATTGGTTTGTGTCCTTTGTGTGCCTGTGTTCCATCAGGTCCAGGGGGTGTGCCTCTGGCCTGAGGAATTGTATAAAAGCCAACCTGTACCAATAAAGCTTTAGACTTGCTCTACCCTTCATGAAGTTTCGGCTCATGTTTGGGGGATTGGAGAACTACCTACACTCTGTGTAAGAATATTAAATAGTTAACTTGTTTATATGTATTTTATGCTTTTATAAGGTTTATAACATGATTATTGCTGACTGAAGGGATATTGAATACTTAAAGTCAATATGCTGACTGTGACAGACTAAGGTATTTCTTCTATAGGATGTAAGACAATGCTAAATTTCAGGATGTCTTGCCCATTCCGATTTCAGGATATTCTTTTCCAGACGTATGCAAAAGCTTATCTTTCCATTGTCAGAATAACGTAATACAAGGAAGTAATAAATCTTATAGTCTGTACTGTATTTGCATATACCATGGCTAATGTAAGCAAACTATGTATAAAAGCCAGCTCTGGAATACACTCATTTGAGAGTCTTGTAAAGCTGTTGTCCGTGTGTTATTGCTTACAATGATCCTCCATCAACGTTGATTATGGTGACCGAGGGATCGAGAACCGAGGGGATTAGAGTCCATTACAACATTAACCCTTTCAGCTTGGTGTCTAGAAGTGGGATAGAAGTTGGATCAGCAAAACCATTTGCGGTGAGTAGCCTTTTTGTGTCTTATTTGACGCTGATTGTCTATGACCCCCTTTGGTTCAGTAAGACTGTATCCAGTAGATAGGAAAGGTGTAAGGACTCTAGTTATATTGAGACTATAAGAGGTCTCCGGTTTATTAGACATTTGGTCTAAATATATAGGGTTTTGGTAACCCAGGTTAGTATCTAAGATAGATACAGGTTTTTGAGACCATAAGAGGTCTCCGGTTTATTATAGGGTTTTGGTAACCCAGGTTAGTATCTAAGATAGATACAGGGTATCTCAGGTAGATACAGGTTTTTGAGACCATAAGAGTCTCCGGTTTATTAAGTCTATAGGTGTTCTGAGCAGCACGGTTTGTAGATCTTTAAGTATAACCCAAACTTCTCTTTCTCCCGGTCACCTTTGTTTGTCTTAAGTGTTTTTTGTGGGTGATTGATTGTCTATATTGGGGACACACTTTGGTAAGTTAGTAGTGTCCCCACTCTGAATCAGCAGTATGGGAAATGTGAGTTCAGGTCCTGAGTGACCAATATATGTATGTATATATGTATATATGTATATGTATGTATATATGTGTGTGTATATGTATATGTGTATATATAAGATAGCAGTACTTTTAAACAAATGGAGGTTTTAAAAATACATAGGGATTAAGGAGAGAACGCAGGTAACTTGTTTTTCTTTGGTTTTTACCATATATTGGGGCTGATGTGTACTGTAGTCCTTGCTGCTGTCCAGTAGTGATGGGAGTGAGCGCAGGACTTATCTTTCTGCAAGATAGCAGTACTGTATATTAGAAAAGAAATGACTCATAGGTTGTACCTGATAGACCTACTTAAATCTTTTTGCTTTATTCTTTCTGTCGCATAGAAGTATAAGTTTATTACTCTGTTTTATTGTAAGTTATTTCACATGGGAACTGTGTGCCTGGAATGATTGTTGCTTTAAAAATACTATAAGCCCACTACACTTATTATGAGAGTGGGATAGTGTAAATGTGTTGCATTGTTTGCATGATGAGCTCAGTATATTTTATAACTGAGACAAAAAGTCACTTCAGTATTTGGAAGTTAATTCCCCATATGGGATTAATTGTATAGAAACACCAATCAGCACATCTTCCCTGCCCTGTGTGTTTGTTGCAAAGGATCCATACTGTAAATATGATTTATGTTTGAAAATAACAGAGCAACATTTACATTTTCAGCGGTCCAACACATGCTTTATTTTGCACTGTAAACTAACCTTTTTATTGCAACAGGTTCCTTTTAAATGATCCAGTGTAATAACTACTGCTTGTGTCTTCTATGTCTCACATTATGTGTTATTTTAAATTGTGGTATATAGCCTGAATCAGACATCATGGACAAAGGTTTTTACCTGTGTTACTAAGGGCTCTTGGAGACTGACCGGTCTAAAGGTTTGCCATGCCTTTAAAACATGGTATAGTATAAATTTTTTAAGTCTCTGAGAGTTCTGAAAGATTCAGGTGAAACCATGTCTGTTTAATCTGGTCCAGATGTTTGTTCAATTTCTATAGGATTTAAGTTGATGCAGCATCATCTCAGATTAGTTAATGGAAATTTTATACAAATAGTTGAGTTATGAGCGCGCTATATAAATGGATCCTTTCTTTATATATAATACTATAGTAGATTAAAGTAATGAAGTTAATTAAGAAAATGTACACATAAGAATCCCTAAAATAAATCTAAACTAAAATTGGTATACTTTCCAATAATATGTTCTGAATACAGCTGTTAACTGTTTATTTTGTGTAAATGGTAATTGTGATAATGTGTGATAAGTGTGCAGTTTAACTTGAAAGTGGTTTAATTTATGTTGCTGTATTGTTTTAAATTATATGTGAATCAGTTTGTCACAGTCTAGTGATACTGATAAGAATGACAGCCAAATAACCTAGCAAATAACTGTTTTATTAGTTGTTGAATACTAGCGTTTTGGCCAAGAATAGTTGGAGATTTGGAGGTGTTAGTTTAAGATTGCTTTTATATTGTGTGTATCCGTGTTTCCTAGGAGGGAGACAGAGTGTGTAGTTGTGTGCCCATAAATGTGATTTCTGTATTGGCATATCTGCTGGGTACCCATTATGTGTTTCTACAAAGATATTGTTTTGTGAGATGACGTGTAATATTACATTGGATGCTGAGTATGAGTTATATGGTTTGAAATGAATTGGTGATTATGAGCTTAGTACTTCAGTAAGATGTGCTAAAATTTGGAACAAGGTGGAAGCTGAAATGTTGGGATTATGGAAGAATAGGTAGTCTATATTCACTGCTTTGGCATATAAGCAAGATGCAAAGGAAGAGATTGGTAATATGATTTTTGTAAAGAAATTTTACAAGTGTTGGAAGGATGAGGCAGGTTTGATGTCTGGAGATGATATAGATCTCTTTAAAATACAGTCATGCCTTGGTAATATGTTGCCACAGTATTCTTTGCTTGTGAAACAATTGATTTCAGACTGGGCCAATTTGGATAGCTCAGATCTTCTTACCAAGGTTATAGAAAAGGAAAATGCAGGTTGTTTTGAATTAAGAAAAGATTTAGGAAAGTAAGGTTGCTTATTATGCTCAGGGATTGCCACCTACACAGGCTGAGAGCGAGGATGGGATGGAGCACATAAAGCCCGTGGAAGGGGTGGTCAAAGAGGGGCAAGGGGATGGAGACAGGAAAATCAGGGTTATAGGGGCAGGGGTAACCAAGGAGGAATAGACAGGAACACTTGTTTCAACTGTGGCCAATATGGCCACTGGAGGAATGAGTGTCCACACCCCAGGAAACCCCAGGAAACCCCACACACCCCAACAACCCCACCTTTCTCAAAATATGCCCGGTAGGCAAGAACAACACCAGACCCACTCCCAACACCACTGGCCAGCATATCGCTTAGTTCAGGACTTTAGAGCCCTGAATAGTTTAATTGTGCCCATTTCACCCATTGTCCCTGATGTGACATCCCTCATTACAGCCATTCCACATGATGCCACTTGCTTCACTGTCATTGATTTAAGTAATGCATTTTTTCTATACCTATTGATCAAGAGACACAGCTACTTATGGTTTTTACTTTTTGAAGGCTGTCAGTTTACCTGGACACGCTTACCCAAGGCTATGTGGATTCCCCAGCTGTTTATTCGTTGGTACTCTAACATACTCTAAAAAACATGGACCACCGGTCATGGTTCCGTCCTTTTTGCAAAATGTTGATGATTTGTTGTTATGTAGCCCTAGCTCTGAGGCAAGCACTGTGGATACTGTCAGCAACTATAGGTCACAAGGTTGTTAAACACAAAATGCAATTGTGTAAATCAAAGGTTGAATACTTAGGTTTTGTTCTGGCTTTAGGCACCAGACAATTGAGTCCAAAATGTATTGAGGTCATTCAGAGGATTCCTACACCCACTACTCGGAAGGAGTTGCTCACCTTCCTCGGCATGATTAATTACTGCCGCCAATGGATCCCTGAATGCTCCCATTATAACTCAATCCTAAGGGAGGCTGTACGTTCTGACAGCCCTGAAAATGTCTGCTGGTCACCAGACATGCTAGCTGCATATATTGCCCTTACAGTTGTTATTGTGCAAGCCCAGGCTTTAGGACTACCTGTGTATTGTAAACCATTTCATTTGTATGCTTGGGACAATTGTAAAACCATGGCCGCAGTCTGTGCACAAGAGCAAGGAGGCGGTATGCGTCCCATAGCATTCTTTTCCAAAGTAGTTCGAGCTCCGGTACAGGGTATGCCGGCGTGTCTCAGAGCATTGATAGCATGTGCAATGGCTGTTGAAACTGCTACTACTATCACACTAGGGCATCCTACAATACTTCATGCCAGTCACCAGGTCACTCAGCTGATAACAAATCTCACCACACAACACATGACAGCCCAGCGCTTCAGTGGTTATGAGATTCTTTTTTTTAATACCCAGAATCTGTCTTTTGGATTAAACAAGGTTTAGAGAAAGATCAAAATGATCTGTTCTCTAAAGAGGGGAGAATAGGCATACTTGAAGAATAGGCATACTTGAAGCAAGCTGATTTATTTTCATCAGTCAGGCACATAGCAAGCACCATTCAATTCTTCATGAATTCATTTTATATTAGGAATCTCAGGCAGCATGTACAGTCTTTTGTAAGATCGTGTGAACGCTGCTCTTTTTACACACTTACAGATTGATTTTATTCATGTATCCAAAATTGGTAAGAAACAGCAATACTTACTGGTCATAGTTAATCAGTTTAGTAGATGGCATGAGGCCTTTGTGATATCTAGGGAAGATTCTAGTGAAGATTATTGTTACTGAAATTATTCCCCGGTATTGCTGCCCTCTGCAGATTGGCTCTGATAATGGCCCGGTTTTTGCAAGTGGGGTTGCCCAGGAACTTGCTAAATTCTTGCAAGTTACCTGGCAGTTTCATATACCCTATCATCCACAGAATACAGGGGTAGTTGAAAGGATGAATAGGACTATTAAGGAAAAGCCCAGAATTTACCCAGGAACATGGGTAAATTGGACTAGATATCTACCAGCTATTTTAGCTGAGATAAGAGTGATTCCTCACAAGGTGACTAAATTATCTCCATTTGAGATTTTGATGGGATGACCTTTTCCCACACCCTGGGCCAGGGAACCGCTTGTTATAATGTCTGTGGATTTACAGCTAATACAAGAACAATATGTACAGGAATTGTTGATAAAACCGAATGGTATGTATGACAATGTTTCTTCGCAGTTTTCCCTTACCTTCACAGGAACCTACTCATTCATACCAGCCCGGTGACAAGGTGTATATCCGTCAGCTGAACAGGACCAAGAAAGGAGGATACCCTTTTGGACCACCTGCTACTGTGATTGCTGTACCCAGAACCGCTGTCCACAGATTCCCATGACATCTGGATTCACGCATCCCGAGTGAAGCTGTGTCCAAAGAGGGGAACCAAGGAAGACAACACCACTCCTCGCTCGGAAACAGAAGAATTTCTCCTCAGCGAAGCATCATGGTTTTCACACCATATCGTAGATTGAGAGGATCATACGTACCTGAGACCAAGATTATGTTGTGCGCTATGCTTTCTGGAGTTGTTATACTCCCTCTGATATTGTTCCTTGAATGCCATTATGAGTACAAGTCAATGGCAAGTTTGAAACCTGTTTGTTTCTGAAAAAAGACTCTGACATGATGAACAATTCTTCAATACCCCCAGCCCAATTAGGCCTTAGCCCCTCATCTAGCATTCGTCACACACGCCCCCTCAAGAACCTTTCTCCACCACCTTTCTATCAGCATGCAATATGCAATCATTCATTCACTGAACGCATTTGGATGAATTGGACAAATAGTAACCCTTATAAGTACCAGTTACCCATATGAAATGTGTCTACAGCTAATGAAACCGATGCATTATGTTTGTTTGAAGGTTCACAGAAAATTGTTAGATCTTATAACGCAGAAATGTGCACAGTTAAGGTTGCATATCAATGTAAACAGACAGGCCTTATTACTTTTAATAATGATTATATAACTGGTATCATTAATTGGAAAAGGGGACAAATGTTAGTCATTATGAACGACACTGCAATTGAGAACTATACACTACCTTATATTTTTACACCTTATTACTGTCCTTCATCCACTATCATAGAACCAAAAGTCAAACACGACACACACACACCTATTCCGTCCACATGTGTTAATACAACTGCCTTCTTACAAGCTGTACATGTGTCATTAAAAATCACTACTCCTGTTGTAACATTATGTAACACAGCAAACAAAGGCAGAAAAGGGAATGGTATGACACACTGTTAGATGGTGCTGGAACCACTATGGGTATACTAAATAGTTATAGATATGGAGACCCTCAAGAATAAGTTAAACACAGCCAGCATGCATATAGGGACTGGTTTTCATGCTACTGCAAATTGGGCTCCAATTGTTGTTAAATCATAGGTTATAGGATTGGATTTAGATAAATCAATGTATAATTATTTAGATAATTTAACTGTTGCAACTATGAAATTCACTACAGATCTCGGTAACTGGAGTACTTGTGCCATCAGGTATTTATGGATACAACAACAAGGATTGGCATTAGAAAACACACTAATGATTCCTAAACTAGAGAAGATTAGAGGAATGTGTAACCTCACAGATAATGATTGGTTACTTCTAAAACCCCAATCCAGTAAATGCAATGGATGGTTAACTGGTAATGTTTCACATTTTTCATGCTCATGCTATTTAACATTATATCATACATTATCAAAGGATGTTAAATTAGCTTGTCAATTTAACACATTACCAGTACCAGTTTATGATCTTTTTGCCAAGAATTTAACCTGGTGGGCACCCACATACACAGGGGACTATATGTTTTCCCAAAGATAACACACATAGGTAGCCACACATATCCTAAAAGGAGAACTCCTTAAGGTGAGTTCACAAATTCAGAATGATTCAGCCCATAATTGGTACAATGCTTTACTAGTTGGTCCCCTACTGGATCCCAGATAATGAAATCATTCTTCTATCCTTTTGTTATTATAGTCCTGATTTTATTGTGTATGATTTTATATAACTGTCACCTTACTTGTACATTGAGGAAAAGAGTACAGAAATGAATCCATAATGCAGAACAGAAACAATTAGAAATTCTCCTCTCTGCCACTGTAGAGTATCAACCCATCTTTAAACTGGGCCTTAGGAATTACCACATGGGAATCGAGGTGAAGAAATTAATGAAAGTCCCGCAGGGAGTGACTAGCACCCTTGAAAATACCATGTGGAAGTTTCTCTGTCCTGGTAAGATTTTATCGATAAGATGAGCAATTGTTTTATTGCTCAAAGAGGGGAATGTAAGAATATTAAATAGTTAACTTGTTTATATGTATTTTATGCTTTTATAAGGTTTATAACATGATTATTGCTGACTGAAGGGATATTGAATACTTACATAAATATGCTGACTGTGACAGACTAAGGTATTTCTTCTATAGGATGTAAGACAATGCTAAATTTCAGGATGTCTTGCCCATTCCGATTTTAAGGATATTCTTTTCCAGACGTATGCAAAAGCTTATCTTTCCATTGTCAGAATAACGTAATATAAGGAAGTAATAAATCTTATAGTCTGTACTGTAATGAATGGCATATACCATGGCTAATGTAAGCAAACTATGTATAAAAGCCAGCTCTGGAATACACTCATTTGAGAGTCTTGTAAAGCTGTTGTCCGTGTGTTATTGCTTACAAATGATTCTCCATCAACGTTGATTATGGTGACCGAGGGATCGAGAACCGAGGGGATTAGAGTCCATTACAACATTAACCCTTTCAGGGAGGAAGGGGCATTTTAACATTAATTGTTAATTAATTGAATTAAATGTTTCTCCCCCCTCCCTGCTTACCTGTATCCAGGGAGGGGGGAGATTCCATCTGTGGTGGTCCGGTGGGGGCCCCCCAGCTCCCTGTTACCGTCCGCAGAGGGGGCCCAGGCAGCACAGGAGCAGCTTCTCCTCCTCTCTCCTCTCTTCTAATAACTCTCGCGAGACCCGCGGAGCGTTGCTATGGTAACCGGGTCTCGCGAGAGTTATTAGAAGAGAGAGGAGAGGAGGAGAAGCTGCTCCTGTGCTGCCTGGGTCCCCTCTGCGGTAACAGGGAGCCGGGGGCCCGCGGCTGCACACATAGATAGCGAGATTCGCTATCTATGTGTGCAGAGAAACAAAGTGGGGCCCAGGACTGCCAGAGCAGTCCGGGCCCCCCAGGGCCGCCGGGCCCGTGACAACTGTCACGGTTGTCACCCCCTGATGGCGGCCCTGTATACATATATACACCATATATCCTGTGTATTCTATATACAATCTGCAATGTATAGAGGTATACACCGAATATACAATATATATACTACATTCAATAGTTACATACGCTATATATACTTGTTATGTTTAAATGCACTATACACTCTACATACACGATATACATCTATACATATATACACCATATATCCTGTGTATTCTATATACAATCTGCAATGTACACAGGTATACAACGAATATACAATATATATATATATACTACATTCAATAATTATATACTCTTTATGTACTTGTTATGCTGAAATGCACATTACACTCTACGTGCACTTTACACATATATACACCATATATCCTGTGTATTCTATATACAATCTGCAATGTACACAGGTATACACTGAATATACAATATATATATTGTGGGGATATTTATGGGATAATAATAGTAACAGTTGAGAATTGCCCACTAATTCAATTCTCAGATCCCAAAGAACGTTTATCGTAAGTGAAAGTATTTCATATAATTAAAATCACAATGTATAAAAATAGATTTTTATTTATATGACAAACTAATTAATAATAATATTATGCAACATGCATGACAATAATCAATGAATATCCAGTATAAAATGGTATGCAATACAAAGAAATGGGTATTACGTTTCAATGGCTAAAAAGCATTTTCTGTCAAGACTTTTGACGATTTATGAGGTATCCTTAACACAGACTTAAAGTGAAACTTTTCACACAGAGAACAGAATTCCTCAGAGTGCAGCTTAAGGTCGTAAAGTTTAGCTGACAGTTAAAATAACCCTTCCAATGCTGGCTAGACCACCTAGATAATTAGGATCTATTCTTATGCAATTTTTAAATAAAATACATTTAAACCAGTTCATTAGTCATTTCCTGGAACCATCCAATAAGAGAATCTACCATATTATATAAGCAGAATTTAATTTGTCTAAAAGATATCTTATCTTAAATTAGAGCAAATCAATACACCTGGATAAAAACAGCGGTATGCTAACACGTGATAATATCACATTAATATATAATTATTCTTAATTCCACCTGCAGAATGGAATGTTTATAACTATATATATTTTAGTTAACTAAGATTTCTTAATATGGATACGTATTATGTAACTATGCAACACTATATTATAAATACTGTTTACACATACACACTGTATACATATAATATATAAATCTTATATGCTAATGATTTACTCTAGTCATATACTCGATATCAAAACTCTACACAAGCTCTATACATTGTATGTACTCTATACTCTATATGTATATGTAGATTAAATACTCTATGTATACCTATTATGCTTAAATGCACTTTACACATATATACACTATATATCCTGTGTATTCTATATACAATCTGCAATGTACACAGGTATACACCGAATATACAATATATATACTACATTCAATAGTCATATACTCTATATGTACTAGTTATGCTGAAATGCACATTATACTCTACATGCACTTTACACATATATACACCATATATCCTGTGTATTCTATATACAATCTGCAATGTACACAGGTATACACCGAATATACAATACATATACTACATTCAATAGTTATATACTTTATATATACTTTTTATGTTTAAATCCACTATACACTCTACATACACGATATACATCTATACATATATACACCATATATCCTGTGTATTCTATATACAAACTGCAATGTACACAGGTATACACCGAATATACAATATATATACTACATTCAATAGTTATACACTCTATATGTACTAGTTATGCTGAAATGCACATTATACTCTACATGCACTTTACACATATATACACCATATATCCTGTGTATTCTATATACAATCTGCAATGTACACAGGTATACACCGAATATACAATATATATACTACATTCAATAGTTATATACTCTATATATACTTTTTATGTTTAAATGCACTATACACTCTACATACACGATATACATCTATACATATATACACCATATATCCTGTGTATTCTATATACAATCTGCAATGTACACAGGTATACACCGAATATACAATATATATATACTACATTCAATAGTTACATACGCTATATATACTTTTTATGCTAAAATGCACTATACACGCTACATACACTATATACATATATACACCATATATCCTGTGTATTCTATATACAATCTGCAATATACACAGGTATACACCGAATATACAATATATATACTACATTTAAGTTACATACGCTATATATACTTGTTATGCTTAAATGCACTATACACTCTACATACACTATATACATATATACACCATATATCATTCTATATATATAATACTACATTCAATAGTTACATACTATAGAAACTATAAATACTTTTTATGTTTAAATGCACTATACACTCTACATACACGATATACATCTATACATATATACACCATATATCCTGTGTATTCTATATACAATCTGCAATGTACACAGGTATACACCGAATATACAATATATATATACTACATTCAATAGTTACATACGCTATATATACTTTTTATGCTTAAATGCACTATACACGCTACATACACTATATACATATATACACCATATATCCTGTGTATTCTATATACAATCTGCAATGTACACAGGTATACACCGAATATACAATATATATACTACATTTAAGTTACATACGCTATATATACTTGTTATGCTTAAATGCACTATACACTCTACATACACTATATACATATATACACCATATATCCTGTGTATTCTATATATAATCTGCAATGTACACAGGTATACACCGAATATACAATATATATACTACATTCAATAGTTATATACTCTATAAATACTTCTTATGCTTAAATGCACAATAGACTCTATATGCACTTTACAAATATATATACACCATATATCCTGTGTATTCTATATACAATCTGCAATGTACACAGGTATACACCGAATATACAATATATATATACTACATTCAATAGTTACATACGCTATATATACTTGTTATGCTTATATGCACTATACACTCTACATACACTATATACATCTATACATATATACACCATATAGCCTGTGTATTCTATATACAATCTGCAATGTACACAGGTATACACCGAATATACAATATATATATACTACATTCAATAGTTACATACGCTATATATACTTGTTATGCTTAAATGCACAATACACTCTATATGCACTTTACACATATATACACCATATATCCTGTGTATTCTATATACAATCTGCAATGTACACAGGTATACACCGAATATACAATATATATATACTACATTCAATAGTTACATATGCTATAGAAACATAGAATGTGACTTTTTATGTTTAAATGCACTATACACGCTACATACACGATATACATCTATACATATATACACCATATATCCTGTGTATTCTATATACAATCTGCAATGTACACAGGTATACACCGAATATACAATATATATATACTGCATTCAATAGTTACATACGCTATATATACTTTTTATGCTTAAATGCACTATACACGCTACATACACTATATACATATATACACCATATATCCTGTGTATTCTATATACAATCTGCAATGTACACAGGTATACACCGAATATACAATATATACTACATTTAAGTTACATACGCTATATATACTTTTTATGCTTAAATGCACTATACACTCTACATACACTATATACATATATACACCATATATCCTGTGTATTCTATATATAATCTGCAATGTACACAGGTATACACCGAATATACAATATATATACTACATACAATAGTTATATACTCTATAAATACTTCTAATGCTTAAATGCACAATACACTCTATATGCACTTTACACATATATACACCATATATCCTGTGTATTCTATATACAATCTGCAATGTACACAGGTATACACCGAATATACAATATATATATACTACATTCAATAGTTACATACGCTATATATACTTGTTATGCTGCAATGCATTATACACTCTACATGCACTATATACATATATACACCATATATCCGGTGTATTCTATATACAATCTGCAATGTATAGAGGTATACACTGAATATACAATATATATATATACTACATTTAATAGTTACTTTATGTGTACTATAAAGGGTGGGCCAATATTAAGAGTAGGATTTGACAGGTAAATAACTTGTTAGTAGTTGATTTTTTCAGTTGCAGGTACATATTATAACTGAGTCTTTGTAAATTCATCTTGGGTAATTTCATGGAGTTACAACGAGTAAAAGTAGTGGACTTTAAATCTCAAAACGTCAGGTCCATTATTTTAACACAAAGAGCTTACCACCGGCACTTCAATGTAAGCTGCCACGTTTGTCCATCTTTTGAGCTCCTATATACGTCCTGGGTGGATATCTGACATTTTTGACGTATTTAAACAAACCTCGTACACTTGAGCAGATCAAGGAGAATATTCGTGCATAAATTCGAGCCTCAAACATTAGCTTTTCTTATGAACAATGCAATCGAAAGCGTCCGACTTTGCGAGGCGGTAAATGGAACTGATTTAAAAGATGTCATCTTCCGTACATAGTCAGGCAAGTCTTCATACAAAGAGCATTCATTGTTTGTAATATCATTGAAATTGGTTCATTCATAAAAAAAGTTATTCACCCCTCAAACCCTACTCTAAATTTGGCAGAGTTTAAACTTTATATACAATCAAAATACATAAATGCACTATATACTCTACATTATAAAAATATTTCTTAAACACACATATATACACTTTTAACACTATTGACTTTAGGTATTTATACACTTTATATTTTATAAATATATACACTCTAGATTAACTTTATACATATTTACTATATATACTATATAAACAGTATTCACTATACACACATACATAATTCCAAATAAATTATATTCTCCATATAGCAAGGCAGTAAGGAAAGTCTGCATTATTTTCTTAATTAAGAAGGTGGGAAATACCGACAATGCACTTTCCTTACCTTCTCTTATTAATCTTTCATGCATCCTGAACGCACTTAAGCTCTTCAAATATCAGACCATCTTGAAAATAGATCCACGTAATATCCTTCCCCTTCTTCTTGATCCTCCAGTCTCTCTTTGGCCCAGATTTTGATGAACATGTAGGACCCTCGGATTGGTGTTTTTAAACATTTCATCTAGCCTGGTTTTAGGTTGTCCTCCTTGGACCGTGAACACCAGCTGTAAACAAAACAACTCTAGTTGAGCCTTCTGATGTTGCTATGACTACTTTTGGTGTCATGTCAGTGGATATAAATGATGTCATAAACAGTTTTGTGTTGTGCAGGTAAAGTCAATGTTACAGTGTCAAGCATGCAAAATGTGCATTCTATTAACAGTCACTCACCCAATCAATGTGCAATGAATGATATCAATGTAGCATTGATTGATAGATTCCTAAATGTATCCCAAGTACTGATTTCATATCAAACAAGAGGGTTTTTTTTTTCGTTTTGTTTTTTTACTACAGTAGTAGTGTTTCACATTCATCTAAATAAATACTGGTTCTTACATTTATACTGGGAATAGACTATACCTTTTAATACTCTGCCAGAATATAATGTGACCCTACAATATTGCCATCCAAGAAACTCCCCATCAGATATACATTAACATTAATATGAGGTCAAAACCTACAAAATGTACTTAACGAACACTCTAACATTTAGGAGTCAAACATTTTTCTCACTATTTAGATTTATCTCCATCCCCCCTACCCTAAAAAAAACTTTACATTTCAAAAGAAATAAGATTGTCTTAGCTTTATTTCCATAATGTGACGGTTTCTGTTTGCACCGCGGATGCCAATTCTCTCTGGCTAAAATTATCTTTACAGATGAAGCAATCAAATGCTTCTCCATTAAGCTGTAGTGGTCCTGGTGCTTACATTGTCCCTTTAAACTGGTTTGTTGCCCTACGTGTGCCTGGAACGTTCTTTCCAGAGTCGTACTGTTGTTTGTGCGTCCACAAATTTAGTGATGTATTTCCGTCCATTTAAAGCTGTAGTGGAGTCCTTTATTTTGCGAGATTTTCTTTGGCTGTGGTTCTGGTGGCTCCTTCTGGTATTGCTAATCCGTTTGTCATTTATTTTCTCATATCCTGGCTTTTATTTTTTCTCCTTTTTTTCTTCATTTGTCCAGTTGTTTGGATATGAAATCTCCATTCCATTCACCAAAATGTATCCCTAATTCAAAAGAATTAAAAAAAAAAAAAAATTGCTCTTTGCTATCATGGAAAATATGTCTATCTATCTATATGCATTATATACTTACCGTAACTGTGCACATTATACGTATTATGTAACTATGCAACACTATATTATAAATACTGTTTACACATACACACTTTATACATATATAATATATAAATGTTATATGCTAATGATTTACTCTAGTCATATACTCGATATAAAAACTCTACACAAGCTCTGTACATTGTATGTACTCTATACTCTATATGTATATGTAGATTAAATACTCTATGCATACCTATTATGCTTAAATGCACTATATACATATATACACCATATATCCTGTGTATTCTATATACAATCTGCAATGTATAGAGGTATACACCGAATATACAATATATATACTACATTCAATAGTTACATACGCTATATATACTTGTTATGTTTAAATGCACTATACACTCTACATACACGATATACATCTATACATATATACACCATATATCCTGTGTATTCTATATACAATCTGCAATGTACACAGGTATACAACGAATATACAATATATATATATATACTACATTCAATAATTATATACTCTTTATGTACTTGTTATGCTGAAATGCACATTACACTCTACGTGCACTTTACACATATATACACCATATATCCTGTGTATTCTATATACAATCTGCAATGTACACAGGTATACACTGAATATACAATATATATATTGTGGGGATATTTATGGGATAATAATAGTAACAGTTGAGAATTGCCCACTAATTCAATTCTCAGATCCCAAAGAACGTTTATCGTAAGTGAAAGTATTTCATATAATTAAAATCACAATGTATAAAAATAGATTTTTATTTATATGACAAACTAATTAATAATAATATTATGCAACATGCATGACAATAATCAATGAATATCCAGTATAAAATGGTATGCAATACAAAGAAATGGGTATTACGTTTCAATGGCTAAAAAGCATTTTCTGTCAAGACTTTTGACGATTTATGAGGTATCCTTAACACAGACTTAAAGTGAAACTTTTCACACAGAGAACAGAATTCCTCAGAGTGCAGCTTAAGGTCGTAAAGTTTAGCTGACAGTTAAAATAACCCTTCCAATGCTGGCTAGACCACCTAGATAATTAGGATCTATTCTTATGCAATTTTTAAATAAAATACATTTAAACCAGTTCATTAGTCATTTCCTGGAACCATCCAATAAGAGAATCTACCATATTATATAAGCAGAATTTAATTTGTCTAAAAGATATCTTATCTTAAATTAGAGCAAATCAATACACCTGGATAAAAACAGCGGTATGCTAACACGTGATAATATCACATTAATATATAATTATTCTTAATTCCACCTGCAGAATGGAATGTTTATAACTATATATATTTTAGTTAACTAAGATTTCTTAATATGGAAATCTGACCGTGCTTTATCCAGTCATATATAATGCTATTAATACATTTTAATTAATTTAATTAATTAAATGAAACCAGTATAATTACCAGTTGAGTAGATATTTCATCCGATTGGTAGTCTCAGGAACTTATTTGGATGTCTCTCTGCATGGAGGTTGGAGTCCCCAAACTTCCAATTCCTCTCTACTCTTTTTCTTTCTCCTTTGCATCTCCTGCATATCTCCCTATCTTCCCTTTGTCTTAACTTTTAAAGGGCCAGACTCTCTGCACGTCATCAGTTGATAACCCAATAGAAGCACTAGAGGTGTAGTTATCTTCCAGAACGCAATTTAGGTATTTAGTCTATAGAGGGCAGTCTTGTCCCACTAAACATACCTATCCAGGAAAGAGTTAACTTTTCCTGGTGGCTATTTTGACGTCATTTTGGCCTATCTAGATAGTGGCCATAACTTACGTATCCTTCACAGATCAAAGGGTTTATTTAAGTTTTGTCCAGACTATGTGTCTGGCAATCTGAGTTTTGACCCGTAACTTACAATGGGACCTTTATATGTATAGACAGTTAAATTTTATTATTTAATCTTCTCTGTCACAATTGTCTGGGTTTAGATTTGATTATATTCTTCTTATCACTTGTTTATACTATGCATTCCTTTAGCTCTGCAAAAATGGGTAGTTTTACAGATAGAAATCTTGTATCTTTTTGTTAGCTTGAAAATAACAAAATGGAGTCTGCTCTGTTCAGAGTGACTCAGAGTATACACTTTTAATTTCTATCATAGCACAAAATGTCTGCCGATATAAATACCCTGACAATATACATACTACATTCAATAGTTACATACGCTATATATACTTGTTATGCTTAAATGCATTATACACTCTACATACACTCTATACATCTGTACATATATACACCATATATCCTGTGTATTCTATATACAATATGAAATGTACAAAAGTATACACCTAACATACAATATATATATACTACATTTAATAGTTATATACTCTATATATACTTGTTATGCTTAAATGTCCAATACACTCTACATGCACTACATACATATATACAACATACATCCTGTGTATTTTATATACAATCTGCAATGTACACAGGTATACACCGAATATACAATATATATATACTACATTCAATAGTTATATACTCTATATATACACTTGTTATTCTTAAATGCACTATACACTCTACATGCACTACATACATATATACACCATACATCCTGCGTATTCTATTTACAATCTGCAATATATAGAGGAATACATCGAATATACAATATATATATACTACATTCAATAGTTATATACTCTGTATATACTTCTTATGCTTAAATGTCCTATACACTCTACATGCACTACATACATATATAAACCATATATACTGTGTATTCTATATACAATCTGCAATGTACACAGGTATACACCGAATATACAATATATATACTACATTCAATAGTTACATACGCTATATATACTTGTTATGCTTATATGCACTATACACTCTACATACACTATATACATCTATACATATATACACCATATAGCCTGTGTATTCTATATACAATCTGCAATGTACACAGGTATACACCGAAAATACAATATATATATATATATATATATACTCCATTCAATAGTTATATACTCTATATGTACTTGTTATGCTTAAATGTCCTAAACACTCTACATGCACTACATACATATATACACCATATATCTTGTGTATTCTATATACAATCTGCAATGTATAGAGGTATACACCAAATATACAATATATATATACTACATTCAATAGTTACATACGCTATATATACTTGTTATGCTGCAATGCATTATACACTCTACATGCACTATATACATATATACACCATATATCCGGTATATTCTATATACAATCTGAAATGTATAGAGGTATACACTGAATATACAATATATATATACTACATTTAATAGTTACGTTATGTATAATGTAAAGGGTGGGCCAATATTAAGAGTAGGAT